CCACTTTAGGGAATATTTTGCTAAACGCCTTAGTTTGCGCGCTCGAAAATTCCAACTCGTCCATCAAGTGCGTCGCACGTTCGGTGAATGAACCTAAAACGATGGCCACTGATCCCAATTTTCATACGACGTTAATGAACAAAATTGCAGTGATGATATTCCACAAGCCACTGAGCGCATTATCTTGCGTTGTATTTATCTATGTAGGGCGATCTCTAAGTTCGTATGATTCAACACCGCGGAATGAATTTTTGTGATGTCGCTTGTACGCATTTTATTTCTTTTTAGGTCTCAAAAAAGCACCCTAAATGCACTTTTTTAAATCTACATATATATATAAATCAATAATCCTAATTATTATGCGATATAAAACACTTTCATTAACTTAAAACCGGTAAAAACAGCATTATGTATTGGATGAGTGCATAAGTTCGTGCCCGATTTCAAGTGCAAACTAAAGATGAAATTTTTTGAAGAAAGCGCTTTTATTAATCAATTATGTATTCGCCATCATGTTCGGCAATCCACTCCCAACGTTCAACCAATTTACGGATGCCTGATTCATAGAAATCGCGCGGTTTCTCGTTGAAAAAGGTGTCAAGGTGGTTTTTGACGTCTTCCACATTTTTAAATTTTTTTCCATTCAAATTGTTCTGCAGCGATCGAAACAAATGATAATCAGAAGGTGCAATGTCGGGTGAATATGGGGGATGCGGCATGATTTCCCAATTCATCTCCTTCAGTTTGGCCAGGGTCGGTTTTGCAACATGTGGCCTGGCGTTGTCATGATGGAAAAGAACTCCTTTGCGATTGGCCAAAATCGGACGTTTTTCATCAATTGCTTTCTTCAATTCGACCAATTGCTGACAATACTTGTTGGCAGTGATCGTTTCTCCAGCTGGCAAGAGCTCAAAATAGATCACGCCTCGGATATCCCACCAAATGCACAGCAGTACCTTCATCGGATGCAATCCACCTTTCGACATCGGTTCCGCCCCTTCGTGTGCCTGTTTCCATGTTCTTTTGCGTTGAACATTGTTGTACAGGATCCATTTTTCATCACCAGTCACGAGCCGATCCAAAAAAGGTTCGTTTTTGATCCGTCGAAGCAAAGAAATTGCTGTTGACATACGGTCCACTTTGTTTTTTTCACTCAACTGATGTGGCACCCATGTATCGAGCTTCAAAGTGTACCCAACCTTTTTTAAACGACGAAACGCAGTTGATTTGTTGACGTTCAATTCACTGGCAACCTCTTCCGTCGAAATACGTGAGTTATTCGCAACTAAAGTCCTTAGAACATCGTCATCAAGCTCAGAAGGCCGTCCACTGCGAGGTTGATCTTCGAGGTTAAAATCTCCAGAACGAAATTTCGCGAACCATTTCTTTACTGTGCGGAGTGCTGGAGCACGGTCCAAATAAACTTCGCGAATATCTTTAGTTGCAGCGCCTACTGTTTTTCCTTTGCGGAATTCGTATAACATAATATGACGCATATGATCTTTTTCGTTGTCCATCTTCCATGCGTCTTTTCACTAAGCAACTCAAATCAAAATGAAGTTATTTTATGCTTGATTTACAGTTCGGACTGTCACCTTTCCAACGATATATAATATGTATATATTTCTTTCACGAGCGCCACTCTCAAATGATTCAAACGGCATCCAGCGGAATCGGGCACGAACTTATGCACTCATGCATGTGCGTGCTCTTAAGGGGCACAACTAGTGTGAAATTTTAAAATCGATCTTTTTTCCATATTTCGTTAGATTACACCTTTAAAAATAACATATTAAAATTTCAAATTGATATCTCATTAGCTACGAGTGAAAAAAATTCCCAAAAATCCCCTTTTTTTAGGCCATTACATTAGGTGTGCGCCTTCAAAAAAAAAGCATTTATATGTACGCTTATGTACATATGAATATAATATAGTCCACATATGATATTATGTATTTGTAAATACACCTGTTATATGACAGTATTCGAATATTCTTTTATATTTAAAGTGTGGGATTAATTTTATGAGCGACAAATGATAAAAAAAAAATTTGTTGTTCAAAATTGCGTCATCTTAGCAGAATTTAAACATCGCAGATACATTTGTATGTACATTCTAAAATTACACACAGCAAGATCAATTTGAATGCTACAAAATAGCATTCATTTATGATATGTACATTGCACATTAATTGAGTATTAATAAAATTTCATTTAAAAAATGTAATGAATTTCATAAACAATACAAATTTCACCTAGAGACAAACAAACAAAAAAAAAAAAAAGCCGACATGCATACATACATATTTTTATTAACAGACTCGGTATGGATTACAAAAACTTTGCATACATAAACGGCGAAAAACTCCGCCTGAAAGCTTACTCTGCTTTTCAGTATCTCATTAAACGCAATCAAACAGTAGTGGCTACGAAATCGATATGTGTGCATGATACATAAAAGTTAGATAAATAATACTTTATTGGATTGAAGTTGTAGAACTGGATTATTTTTTTTATAAATTAGAGAGTTTTATTCATGATACAATAATTCAAAGGTAGTTTAATACCCTCTTCGCAGTCGGTTTCAAAGCTAGCTGACATTAAGCGTGTTTCGTCTTTTTCGTGCTATTCTCTTCTCCTAAAAAAAACAAATGTACCATTTTTAAATCAAAAATATGTGGACAATTTTCATAGTTTTTAAATATTTAAACGTTTAAATCTCACGTAATTTTTTATTTTACAACCTCTGATAGTGAACTTCATGATTACTCGGTTATTGTTTTAATAATTGACGGTTTTTTAGAGCAGCGCAAATTCATTATAAAAATCTCAAAACTACGCCAATAGTCGTTTTGGTCTATTAAGCTTTCAAACACTTTTGAAATCTGTAAATAATTATATTATTATTTGAAAATCTAGTCAGTTAGCTAGGTTAACAGGGAACTCGATCACAGAACACTGGTCTCTTGATGATACCTATAAAGAAGATTGCTTTTACTTTTCCAGATGCTCAAACCACTTGGTGTATGTTGCGAAGTTCAGGAGATTAATGATGCCTTGAGTAGCAAGCTATTCAAAGCAATCGAAGAAGAAATTTCCGCGAAATCGGAAACAAGTTGTTTGAGATACTTCCTACTACCATGAGTCACCAAAACACAGGGTCCGGAAGTCTTGTTTAGATGGAGTAAAAATTTAGCTCTGTTCACTTCGCTCAATTGGACGTGGTTTCACTGTGGCATCTGCTGGAAAGAGGTATGCCTATATCATGTCCAGAGTTGACCGGTGTTATGATTGTACCCTATCTGTTCAGCTCAACGGCCACGATGCAGCCTGGGGTATCCCTATGATCGGGTAGCCAAACCACGGACGTTTCACAAATAGTCGGGAAAACCTATAAGTCTTAGTTTCGAAAAAACGACAACTCTGTCCATTTTATTCTTCTCTTACTTCTGCCGCCCAAGATGAACAGGTTGAAAGAAATTTTTTAACAGATCCCTACTTGTATTCAATATAGCATCTGCTTAGAAGATAACCCCACAAATAATTAAAAAATGTGCAAGTTGAATACCCAAAAATATTTCTATTTGCATCATTTCCGTATGTATTATTGCTTTAAAATAAAAAAAAGCTCCCCATAAAATACATTAGCCGTGGGTAGGTGGAGGTAGAGGCTTTATGAAAAACTTCTTCGGCAGCAATACGATTCGGCAGCTATTATTGCATAACAAGACACAATATTCATACCACGTACCCGAATATGACGGATATAATGGTCGCTATAGCCGAGCAGTTAGCATTTCATACTGTCATTCCGAAGACCACGGTTCAAGTCCTGGTTCGACCAACATCAAAAATTAATTTTTCTCATAGCTGCCGCTCCTCGGCAGGGAGAGCATAAAACAAAAAGCGCTTCATAAAAACACATTGGCTGTTCGGCCTCCAATTGTTGGAAAACATCAAGACGCATACCATAATTTGAAGGAGGAACTCGGCAGAAAATTCATCACAAAATCCCAAAGAATCAATTCTATTTTTTGAGGTCTTGAATCGACGTTTACCTGTTGGTGCAGATTTTATCTTTCACTTGGGACCCCAGAAAGAAGTCACAAGGTTTAAATAACAATATCTCGAGGGCCAATTGCGATCACCACTTCGAAAAACTAAGATATAATGAACCCGCCGTGCCTTCAGACCACCGTTCAAAGCTACATAGCTTTCATAAAAGATCTCTGACGAAGAATAATTCTGCCTACAGTCAGACAGGAGAGGAGTGCATACTATCGCCGCTATTATTCATTTGGTATTTGATTTGGTGATCCAAGAAGGGTGTGTGGCGAACAGAGGCATGCCTTGGGTTTTAAGCGGTTGCTTAGAAGATTTGGATTATGCAGGTAACATCTGTCTGCTGTTCCATTATTCACACATTTCCTAAAAACTTCAATATGTTGTACCTTTGTTCAAAATGATTTTCACCAGCGTTGAAGCGTCCGAGGATCTTTTCTTTATTATCGAATAACTCGAGAAATATTTTTCACCCCCTGCGGGTTAGGGGCTCAAGAATTTACCCGCGGTAAGGCATGCCTGTCGTATGAGGCGACTAAAATCCAATAGTTCCCGCGACAGTCGGGTCTTTATACCGGAACGGATACCCGGATTTTTATACGGCCAAGGACTGTCACTCCCGCAATATTTCCCAAAAAGTACTTTGGGAAATAATTTTGCGGTTACAACAACAACAACAACAACAAAAATATTTTTCAAATAGACTTCAAAATTTTAGATAATATTTTTAAGATGTTATTCTGCATTAAAATTCAAAACAAAAGCAATAATCAATTTTTTTTAAACGCTACCCCTAACCTTTTATAAAGCGACACTTGTACAAGTGTGTATTCAAAAGCAACTCGGCATCAGTTGAAAATAATTATGAATGAAAAAAGAGATTTTAAAGAAATAATTGGCTTTTAAAATGGCATTGCGTACACAAACATTCTACTTACATCCGGGTTGTATTCCTTTCGCTCGTATTGTACGATATGGCTGCCTAGCGCCAGGATCAAATTTTCCATACATTGTTCTATCCATTTTTAGTTTTATCTTGATGTCATACGCATATTATATACATATGTATATGTAAGTGCATGCGTTATATGTATGTATATAATTTTTTTCAATAATTTTTGATATACTATCAACACTTTAGGTGGTATTTTTCCGATATCACACAGTCTTATATAATTAACACTAAATTAATAATGCCTAAAAATGTTCAACAAATGATAAATGACGTTTACGGGGTAATTCTACAATACATACATAAGTCACTTGTTAATCATAATCACAAACCGCCTTTACGGCATGGTAGATTTCTCGTAGTTGAAAATCACGAACGCGATCGACTTCTTAAACCGTTGATCGGTGGCAGCCGGTTGAACAAAGTTATCTGACATCTGGTGATCGCGTCACCGTCACTACACTCCGATCACACGAAATTTTGATGTTTGTTTTAATGCTGTTGTATATATATACTTATGTACATACATACATATTTATATCTTTTTTTTATTAAAAGGTAAATGAGAAATTTACACAATTTTTGATTTTTAGTTAATAAATGAAAACATTTTAATCATCCAACTGAAACAATTGCCGTCGAAATATAAATGTGCACTCACAAAAATATATATACATATTTACATATGGATGTAGGGGTGATAATCCCGAAATGCCTTGTGCCTTTTGTTTAAACAAAAAACTGTTCCTTCTTCCATTATCTGACAACATAAACTAAAAAAAAAGTAAATAAATAAATAATTGTTGCAACAACTTCTATTAGATTGCAATTTCGTTTTATTTTTTTTACGTTTTTGTTTGTTTATTATTTTTTATCTATTTTACAAATTTTAAGTAACTAAAACTTTTATTTCAGATAAGCTATATGAATAGGGAATTCCTTGGGTAACTAATTATATTACTTGCTTTCATAATTCACTTTTCCTTAAATATCTAACATTCGAAAAATATTTTTATTTTGAATACGATGTCAAGACCGACTTCGAACTTTAACACCCTTCGTAATGTATCAACCGGAGTAGTAACTTCTCAATCACAAATTTACTGAAATTAATTGTAGGAGGCTAAAACGTTTCAAGTGACGAACTACAGCAATAGGAAGGGGTCCATTTACCTCTAAAACATGTCAAATAAACATAACCGCAGTAGCAAATACCACTACCTAAATGAAAACTAAGAAACCACAAAAAACCAGCATTCACCATTACCAAGGTTTGAATCCACAGCACCACAGGTAATACTGGGTTGAACGCTATCGACAAGAATTCAATTGAATTCTGGAGTATTTAATGGCGTTAAAGACCAATGAGAATGCTGGTAAATAAAATAGACTTCCGCTGGCTGATGAATTTCATTGTTGAAGTTGGGTTAGAACCGATGAACTTATATATTGTGTGCAAAAACTATCGTCGAAAAAACTCTTCAAAAACTAGGAAAGACCAAGAAGAAAAAGCTTTCAGGCTATACCAGTCCCGTTTGGAATTAGCTGAAGCTGCATAATTCCCATGAATAATATAAACTATATTAATTTTAATATTTTTTTGCGCTATAAAGTCTTTGTTTAAACAATTTTTATTTTTTTTTCATTGAATACTTAAAAAAATGTTTTGCTTTTTTTACTCTTAACCGGACAAAACCGCATACAGACCGTGTTTAAATTTTTAGACCTACTACCTAAATTGAAGAGAGTTTTCGAAGTCGGGCTTTAAATATGGCAAAATTCAATATAGTTCAGCGCATGGAAATTAGCACGAAATAAAAAAATGTTGATATTTCTGTTCAAGAATTATTATTATCAGGTGTACAACTTTGCTTCCGCCGTTTTTTTCCAAAATTAAAAGCTTTATTGCGAAAAATTGCTTACAGATATATTATTCAAAGTATTGTCCTTCGCTAACGACAACTTTCTCCCATCTTTCCGGCAATTTTGGGATCCCGGCTCGAAAATAGGAGTCCTCTTTCGACGCTATCCATGAAGCAAGCCATTTTTTCAATTCTTCGAAGGATTGAAAATGTTGATCTGCCAGGCCGTGTGCCATCGAACGGCATAGGTGGTAGTCAGAAGGGGCAACATCTGGGAAACACGGCGGGTGGCTCAAGACTTCCCATTTCAGCGTTCCCAGGTACTTTTTTACCACTTTTGCGAGGTGAGGCCGAGCGTTGTCGTGTTGGAGGATGACTTTGTCATGTCGCTCTCGATATTGTGGCCGCTTTTCTTTTAGCGCGCGACTAAGGCGCATCAGTTGCGTACGGTAGCGATCTCCTGTGATGGTTTCACCCAGTTTTAAGAGCTCGTAGTAAATCACACCTCATCTTTGAAGTTTTTTTTCTCTTTCACCACCATGTTTGTCTTCGAAGCATGTTTTTCATTTTTAAAACGTTGAAACCACTCCCGACACGTTCTTTCACTCAGAGCAGCATCACCGTAAGTTTCTGAGAGCATTCGATGCGGTTCAGCTGCATTTTCTTCGAATTGTAACAGAAAAGTAAAACTTCCCGCAAATGGCGAGAATTAGGCACATAAACGGACATTTTCGAGCGTGAATAATACGAAAACAAGAACAACTGTCACTGAAACGGCGATGACAATTCGTTAGGCACTGTCCACACTCACTTTAAAGGCATTATCATCTATGTATTTCAACCAGCCTCAACCGGTACAGCCACCTATCGGAAAACGGCGGAAGCAAAGTTGTACACCTGATAGTTTCAAAAGAACCAGTTATTATAATTTATAATATAGGTGTGTAAATCAATTTTTAATTTCGATTATTTTTTCATTATTTGAATATATTTTACTCAAATTCAAAGAAGATAAATACCGTTGTGATTTTTAAGATATCTTGAAACTTCGGTACCAAAATTGTCTACCTACTCGTATTAGCATCAATAACAAATAGTACATATACATCCACATAGCACCAGTGGGAGCGGAGATCGCTTAATGAATGTATATATGTATGTACTTACATATGTACGATGCGCTATCGTCAGACATTCGGTCAGGCAAGCTGCCAAGCAACTTGGAATAATATGCAGTTAGAATAGCAAACGCAATCTCATGAATCTAAAACTCATGCGACAACATTGGAAACAGGCAGTTAGCCAAGCAGGCAAGCCAACGACGCTGCCTCTGCCTCTGCTGCCGGTATTAGCGGACACACAGCAAAAACAACTAATAAACTGTTTGTTTTTGCTTATAAATATAATTTATATATGTACATAAATAAATATACAATTTTCACATGAATGTTTTTTTTATTTTATCACATTTTTTATTATAATTTGTACAAATAGATATACATATTTACATATGTATTCTAGTCGTACATCCATGACAAATATATGCTTTATATTCACTAAATGAAAATAAAATTTTGTCTGATCGAATTTCTAATGCGTTAAGCCAATGCCGCAGTTGCTTTGCCCCACACCCCCTTTTCACCTCTGCTCTTTTTAGCCCACGCAGTTGACGGTTATTGTTGTCATCTGCGAGATGATTTTCGTCGTGGCATGACTTCCATATATACTCACTTGAATAAGTAAGCAAGTGAGAGAGAACGATGACTCATTTTCGACTGCTTTTCAACGGCAAATATTATATGCGCACTGACAGACATACACATGAGTACAACGTGCATACATACATACATGCAAGTATGTACAGTGAGTCAAAAAAGTTTACATACACGCTGCTTTCATAACTATACACACACACCATACTCTAATTTGTTTTCCTCATTTAACGGTACAATTGCGCAAGTTCTTATAGTTTTTGTTTTTAGTGAAAATTAATATTGTAATGGGAAGAATACCATTCGCTTTTTCGTCATTCGATTTTTCGTCATTCGCTTTTACGTCATTCGTTTTTTCGTCATTCGTTTTTTCGTCATTCGATTTTTCGTTAATTCGAAGTGTGAAAAAGTTAGTCACAATGGGTCTCGGTAAAGAAATATATCTCAGGACGACCAAAGATTTAAACGCCTCGTGAATAATGGCAGCAAAATGAGACCCAACAAAATATTGGGTTGCCCAAAAAGTAATTGCGGATTTTTTAAAAAAAAGTAAATGCATTTTTAATAAAACTTAAAATGAACTTTAATCAAATATATAATTGCCATTTCGTTCGATAACCTTTTGCCATCTTCCTGGCAAGTTTACTATTCCACGCTCATAGAACTTCTGGCCTTTATCTGCAAAAAACTGAACCAAGTGCGATTTTATAGCCTCATCATTGCCGAAAGTTTTACCATTTAAGGAGTTCTGCAAAGATCGAAATAAATGGTAGTCTGATGGTGCAAGGTCAGGGCTATATGGTGGATGCATCAAAAGTTCCCAGCCAAGCTCACTCAGTTTTTGGCGAGTGACCAAAGATGTGTGCGGTCTAGCGTTGTCCTGGTGGAATATGACACCTTTACGATTGACCAATTCTGGTCGCTTCTCCTTGATGGCTGTATTCAATTTGTCCAATTGTTGACAGTAAACATCCGAATTAATCGTTTGGTTCCTTGGAAGCAGCTCAAAATATACGACACCCTTCCAATCCCACCAAACAGACAGCATAACCTTCTTTTGGTGGATATCAGCCTTTGAAGTGGTTTGAGCTGGTTCACCATGCTTGGACCATGATCGTTTTCGACTAACGTTGTTGTAAACAATCCATTTTTCATCTCCAGTTATGATTCGTTTTAAAAACGGATCGAATTCATTGCGTTTAAGGTGCATATCACAAGCGTTGATTCGGTGTGTTAAATGAATTTCTTTCAATACATGTGGTACCCAAATATCAAGCTTTTTCACCAGTCCAAGACTTTTTATGTGATAATGAACGGTTGATTTTGGTATATTTAACTTCTCTCCTATCTCACGCTCAGTTACATGACGATCCAATTCGATTAATGCTTTGATTTGGTCATCATCAACTTCATTTGGCCGACCTGAACGTGGCTCATCTTTAAGTGAAAAATCTCCAGAACGGAATTTGCGAAACCAATTTTGACACTGTCTTCCTTTTAAGGCTTCATCACCATACACATCTCGTAACTTTTTAGCAACCTGCTCCGCGTTTTTTCCTTTACGGAAATAATAAAGTAAAATATGACGAAAATGCTCCTTTGTGGGCTCCATATTAAAATTGACGCCAAACAAACAAATGTAAACAAAATTTCGCGCACTTTTTTTCTAAAGCAAGCTAAAAGTAACAGCTGATAACTGACAGAAGAAAGAATGCAATTACAGAGTCACAAGCCGTTGAAAAAATTTGTCAACGCCGACTATATGAAAAATCCGCAATTACATTTTGGGCAACCCAATAGTAAATATAATATATTTAGTTACTTTATTACTTACTACATAATTATTACTATATGTAAACTTTTTTGATACAAATTATGCGCATTTTAAGT